CTGCCCCTGCTTCCAGCCAGCATCCATACTTCCTCCCAGCAGGCTCAGCCAGGCATGCTGAGACCTGAGGTGGCTTCACCTTGTTCTAGGGATGGACACCAAGTCAGCCGTGTCTCCTCTCCCCAATTCAATGACATCTAAGGAGGTCCCTGCTCCTGGGCCCCCTAGCCTTGGAGCTGACGTCTCCCTAGGTCTTCTCCCAGGCCTTGAGGAAGCCCTCACCCTGGGGTCCCTGCCCCACTCCTCTCTCTGACTCACTTTTACTCAAGGTGGCCTGGCCAGTGCACCCCGAGGAAAGGGCTGCTTCCGGCACTGTGCGTGGAGGTCCTGCCTTCTGCCGTCCCTGGAGGCTCTGTTCCCATTTTGCCAGCTATTTTGCTTCGTCAGCCATCTGTTCCCTCCCTGTCATCTACTCTCTGCTTTAACCTTAACCACTACTTCACTGCAGATGGTAACAAACAGATCCGTTCTTGACATCCTTCACGATGCCTGCCCCCTCCTTCTCATCTCCAGCAAGTGAACTGCTGCTCTGTCCTTTTTCAGGTCCTGACTCCAAAGACGTGGCCAGAGCTTGGTGTTGGATTCACCCCACAAGCCTCCCTCCTTGGTCTCATCTGCTGTCAACTCTGCCACAGTCAGGGGGCAAACACTCACACTTTCACCTGCCTTTTCCTTTTCCTAACAAGACTTCCTCTTTTCAAACTTGGCCAGGAACCTCTCCTGGCGTCAAGTCTACTGTCTGCTCCAGTTATCCACCTGGTCTCCATAAACAGAGCCGTTTAACCCTCCAGAAGGCTCAGGGTTGGCGGCCTGAAACAGACCGAAAACTCTGGGATGCGTTCCTGCAGTGGAGGAGCCAGTGTGGCCGGGCTGGGAGTTTGGGTCCTGAACAGTATCCCTGTAGAAAGTGGACCTAAAAACTGCAGTAAGGAATCGGCCCGTGTTGGCATGACAGCAACCGAACCAAAACATATTCTCCACGTTGTCTGAGCTCGCAAGGGGAACAGTGCACTGCTTTCCTCGCTTTTATTCTGGCTACTGGTGAGAAAATGAATTCATGGGCTTTATTTAGCAACTCACTCTGCCTCTCCCTCTGTTGGGGCGTCCTGGTACTCCCCTAAAATTCCTCCTCTTCGCCTTTCTTTTTTGGCGTAAGGACCAGGAGCTTTAAGGTAAGAAGAAATCCAGAAGCTCCCAATTAAAGGAGCTGTTTTGGTGACACTGGTTCCACCAGGCTGCATTCCTTCAGTGGGACAGAACTGGGCTGGGAAGACTGAAATTCTACTTCTGCACTGGATCTGGGCTACAAAACCTCATATCTCAACTCTCTCCAGCAGGGCTCTTGTATTTCCCCTCTACACTTCCTCCACAGCAGAAAGAAGAGTGTCTTGGCTGTCCATGGAACTCTCTTCTCCTGCCCTGGTCATGGGAGCTAAAGAGGGCCACGTTACCAGTAGCTCCAAGAGATGGAGCCTGCTCACACCTGGCCACATGGAGACTCTCAGATTACCTAGGGAACCTTTGGATTCAAGTCAACCAGGCACCTGACAACCCCATGGTCCCTTCCTCCCTCTGTTTTCTCTTCTTCCCATATAGGAGACCCAATCCAGCCACCAGGCCAGCCCATCTGGCTATGGAAACCAAAATGCATCGTTACTGGATTGCAGGCCTTAATCTAGCTCTTGCTGAATTATTCAGGGATGGCATTAACTTATAAATGAGTGTGTTTGACTGATTTTGTGGTTGATGTACAGATAAATTCTAATGAAAGACAGCTACAAGATTTTAAATTATTAATTAGACTGCCACTTAACAAAGCCTATTTGGCACTCTATTTCCTTGCTTAACAAGACAAAAACTTTACGGAAAGCTTCTGTATTAGCCCAGAGGCTGTTGTTTTGCATTCTGTTTTTACAGCTCTAAAAATTAAAACCATAGATCCTGACCTTAAGCAGGCCACTTCTGGCAAAGCAAACCCCCCAGCAGGCTGCCCTTCCTTCCTGGATGATGCTGGGTGGCTCCGGGCCTCGCTTGCCTGCTTGCCTCTCATCTCTGTCCAGAGGCTTGCTTTTTATATCCCTGGTTCTGCTGGAGCAGGCTAGGAGATGGACGAGCAGGCAGGGCAGCTGCAGAGGCCTTCAGCTACCAGCACTGTCAGCAGCAAGACCCACCAAGGACTCGGGGCTGTTCTGGTTCAGAGGTGAGGCTGTGGCTAGTAGAGTCTGCTCATTAAGAGATGCAAGGCAGCATTGCCAGTTCCTATAATGTCCTGCCAGGGGACAGCACCCCGCTCACTGTAATAGGACAACCAGAAATCAGAAAGACGACCCTCATGGTCCACTGCCTACTCCCGCCTTCTTAGTCCTCTTGGGCTTCAGACCACTGAGCCTCCTTACTCCACAAAGCACTCCATTGTCAAAACCACGAGCCTTACCCTTTGCGGGAAAGTAAGGGGTTCTTCCCCTTCCCCTCTCCCCCCAGGATCTAGGGAGGGCTACTCTTTCTTCATCTTTCAAACCCTTTTCCAAATCATAATTAAACTATGAAACTCCCTCAGGGCCAGGATGCCATGCAGGGCTCTGCATCTGACAAACGGAAACTGCAACAACTATCTGAACCCATCCTGCAACATTTTTGCTTAGAGCCTTTGGGAACAACTCAAGAAGCAGACACTCGGATGGCCACCTCCCTTGGCATTAGCCTCAGGCATTCCTTTGGCTCTGGGCACACACCTAGAATCCACACAGAGAAGCTGAGTGTCCTGTATGTGTGTGCAAAAGAAAGTCCTAGGGATCGGGATCATGGGCAGAGAGAGAAAATTGCCCAGAAAAGGACCAAAACAAAAGTCCTTCGCCCACACAATGTCCCAGCAGCAGGCTCCAGGCCACCCCAGCCGAGCCCAGCCCAGCAAAGGGCTGCTCTGTTTCCCTCGGGCCAATTCAGGTGGAAACCTCTTTTAGAACCTCTCCCACCAACCAAGCCATGCAGGAAGGGAAAAATAGCCCAAGTGGCAAATACACGTGACCGCCAAGCCTCCAGTGGCCACCTCTTGAGCAAGGTAAGAGAGCCTCCCCCAGGCAGTGGCCCCCACAATGCACTGAGCTAATCTGGAGCCGGGCCTCTGGCTAGCAAGGATGGGAGAGAAAGGCTCCTGGAGGCTGCTCAAGCCTCCCTGGGCACCTAAACCATATATAAAATGTGTGGGTTGCTTCGTGGCTCATTTTTAACCGTAAACTGCCAAAAGACAAAAGACCAAAAGGGAAATGAGATGTCAGTTTCTCTCTATTATCTCCATCACAGACCTGCAGCCCAGAGATGGCAGCCTTTTAAAACCGCCTGGGAAGCCTTCCCCATGGGGGCAAGTTTGCATGCTCCAGGCCCAAGCTTCTCAGACCTGGGCCTGTGCTCAGCTCTGCAAAAAGCACCCTCTCTGGGCAGAGACACACGGGCCAGCACCGCTGGTTGCTGAGAGGACTTTTAGTCCCTTTCTGCAGGGAAAAGGAACTGGAGTCTATCAGTGACCGTTTCTCCAAACAGCCGCAGAGACTTCCCACACCACAGTGAAAGCCAGTCAGCGTTTCCCTGCCCTGTACTGACCCATGTGGAGGCACAAGTCACACATAAGTTTGTGACTACTGACACGATGGGGCAACCAAGGAACCTCGGTCGGCCTGAGCGAGCCGGGACCACCACACAGCCTTTACTGCTCCCAGCGAAGGTGTGGTTTCTTCACCCACCTGTCCAGTCTGCTTATGGGGTATCTTCCATCACCTCCAGATCTGCTCCTCTCCGCCCATCTCAGGGCTTCGCTTTCCCCTCCTCTGCCACCTCCCCCTGCCCGTTTTCTCCTTCCCCATCCTACTGTGAGGTCAGAATCCTGTGCTTACGACACCTCGGTCTGTTGCCATGGAAACATGGGCGGATTAAGGCTGGAGCGCCGAGCGCGGGGATCAGGCCCCTCCGCTACCTGAGCTCCCGCCTCAGCCGGCTCCCGCAGGGCCCCGACAACCAGCTGCAGGCGCCGCAGCTCGCCGGCCGCCCGGCCGGGGCCAAAGACGAGGGGGTTCCGGCGGGGCGCCGCAGCCCGCCCGGACCTGGGAGGGGAGAGGTAGACGCCGAGGCCAGGGCAGCGGGTAGCGGAGCCCGCAGACTCACGACGTGGTCACCTGCCCTCCTTGGGCCCTGGGGACCGCTCCCCGCGCGGCAGCCACGTGGGGGCGCGGCGGGACTTCCCCAGCGCCCGCGCCAACTTTGCAGCTTTCGGCAATGGGCCGGGCTGCCGGGGGGGGGGGGGGGGTCGTGGTGAGGTGGTCGCGGAGCCAGCTCTCTTCAAGTTGAGCCTGGTACGGGCCGCGCACGCTGCCGGCACGGCCTCTGCCTTCTCATCCCTCCGCTACAGGCGTAAGGAAAGTTTGAAGAACCGGACATCAGGCGCTAGCCACCAGCCCTCGGCCGCTGGATGCCCAGAGCCCGTCCCTGGGGACCAAAGCAGGGAAGGTGCCTGCGTCCAGGCCCCGTCTGGGAAGCTAGGGCGCGCAGTGAGCGCCGGGGCCGCGCGGTGACTGGCCCCTGGCTGCACTGGAGCGCGGGTTGGATCCGGCCCCGCCAAAGCGGCTGAAGCTGGCGGCATGTGCCCGCGCAGGGGATAGAGCCTGCAAGTGCAAAACTTTATAATGGCAAAGCAAAGGTCCCAGGAGGCCGGCTCCCCTTCTATCACCGGCAGCTCACTGTGGTCCCGAAATGACCTCGCCGAACCAGAACCCTAGGCCTGGCCGCTTGATCCATGGAGCAAATCCCCTGTCTCGCAACCGGCCACCGACGGGGGCTGAGCTCCAGCAGCAACCCCTCGGCAGGTGCGTCCCCGCAAAGCCCGCCAGCCCACCAGCGGCTGCTTGCCGGACCCGGAGCCCCGGCGCCGGGCAACTCTCGGGCGGCTCCCGGGCTCGCGGCTCCGCATGGTGCGCATCCAACTCCAACTTGCCCCTGCGGCTCCAACTCACCTTTGCGAAGCATGTTGGCCGCGGGGCTGCCACTCCGAGGTCGGCCTAGACGCACTCCCTCCCGGGGTTCAGATTCAAATTCTTGGGCGCCGGCTGCAGCTAATCCGAGCGCGTCGAGGCGGGGGCAAGCCCGGGATCCGCTTGTGCCCGGCGGCCTGGCCCCGCAGGGGCATGGTGAGCCCGAGCCCCGCGCCGAGGGCACCGGCGCCCACCAGCAACCGCGGCGCTGCCCGACAGACCCCCGCGCGCTCTCAGCCCCGGGGCGAGCGGCTTGCTCCGCGGAGCCGGCGGCCTGGTTCTGCAGCCCCGAGCACTTTGCAGGCGATTTTGAGGGGGGACGCCGCCCCCCGGCCGCGGCCCCCTCCTCTTCGCCCCCTCGGGCCGCCGCCGCCAAGGCTGCTGCTTAAAGGGCGCTCGCACGCACCGCCGAGCTCCGGGGAAAGCGCCCGGCGCGCGTTTGCAGGACCGAGCGATCCGCGGAGCGGGGCGCCTCCCTTCCTCCTCCCCCCGGCTTCCCTCACCTCTCCTCCTCCCTCCCTCCTTCCCTCCCTAGCTCCCTCCTTCTCGCTCCGCTCCCCGCCCCCGCTCACGGAGCGCCTCCCATACAAAATTTATGAAAGTGCTCTCAGCTCGCGGTGCCGAGCGCAGTCCTATTCCCAGGGCAGCGGCGTTCAGCCGCGTGGCGCCGCCTCCTAAGGTGTTTTCGCTGCCCCCGCCCCCGGGGACAATCCTCGGCCCGCGTGCGTCCAAGTACCTGCCCCAGCCCCCGGACCGGTCGTCGGTCCACTCGAAAGCCCCTCCCGGGCCCCGTGGGCTTCCCGGAGCTCGCACCCGCAGCCCAACCCCCGCCCGCTCGCCCTTCGCGGCTGGAGGTCACCGAGAGAGGCGGCTGGAAGCGTGCGCTCTGCCGACCGGCTGGGGAGGATCGCCGCCCAGAGTTCCCCCATCACAAGTCCGCACCCTTGCCCATCTCCTCTCCCGCCGGCTCCGCTTCCTCCTCGGAGGCTCGACGGCTCCTCCCTGCCCAGGACAGCTCTAGTGGACCCAGCCGCCTCCCATCCCGCGTCCTAGGACACTATTCTTTTGAGTGGAGGTGTGGCGCGCCCCTAGGCTGGTCTAGACCTCGCAGCAAGCATTCGGGGAGACCCAATCGCAAATCCTAGAGAGAGGGAAGGACGAATGTGGGGCTCAGGTGGGCTATCTCGGCCTAGCGGGGGACTCTGATCGCCCTGGGTCTACACAGACCCCCCACGGGGCTTCGTGGAAAATGGGGGAGGCACCGCCTAGAAAGCAGGTCCCGCAGGGGGCCAGTTGGGCTGAGCGTAGAGAAGGTTCAGGCAGGAGCTCCTGGGTGGAGGCCAGCACCCCCTACTGGCCTGGGATAAGAGGGGTCCTGGGAGAGGAAAAAGAGTGGACTGTCACTTATTCAACACACATTTATTAAGGGTCTACCACGTGTGGGCCACTACTATTCCTGGGGATTCAGCCAATGAAAAAGACAAGGTCCCTGCTTTTGTGGAGTTTACAATCTAATAGGGACCAAATGGGGAAAGTCCAGATGAGACCGTGCTGGGAAGAAAAGCAAGCAGGGTATTGTTCTGGAACTGATGTGAGAGGGTCAGGGAAAGCTGCTCTGAGCAGGTGACATCTAAGCAGAGATCTAGTTGAAGTGAGAGAATGAATCGTGTGATTCCTTGGAGAAAAACTTGGCATGACAGGAAGGTGAAAAAGAAGGCCAATATCATGCATTCTCTCATAGATGCATTCAATGACACTGAGGCTCCAGGTTTGAGCTAATGATATAGGCTTGGCCTTCCAGAAGCTCATGGTATAATCGGGGAAGAAACCCACCTTAGAATGTAACAGGAGATACAAAGTGTGGGACGGGGCTCTGTAAAGGGGTGAAGGACCATCAGGGAAGGCTCCACAGAAGAGGTGCCATTTGGGTTGGGTCTTGAAGGCTGAGTTCATCAGGCTGAGAAGGGAAAGGCCACTCCAAGTGAGATAGAATGTGTAAATGCTTGGAAGTGAGAAAGTACCCTTGTTCTGAAGATTAAGACAATTGGTCCATTGTGGGGTAGGAACAATAGGTAAGGTATTTTTTCTCTTAGCCTCAACCAGGTTGACCCCACACCCTGCCTGAGCGCTGACAGGCAGACACTAAAGCCAAACTCGATGACACTAAGAGCTGCAGAGGCCCTCCATAAGTAAACTGAGGCCCAGGGAGGTTGAATAATTTGCTCAATGCCACACAGTAGATCAGTGCCCAAGTGTGGGCCTGAATCGGTATGTTAATCCTCCTTCTACCTCCCCAAGCCGCCTCCCCATGACCCCCTGCCCCACAAACTTTAGCATCTTAGGCAAAGTTGGCTGGAGCTGGGCGTGAGTGTGAGAAGCGGAGTTATTTCAGGCCTCAGGAGGGCTGGGTGCTGCTTTGGAGTCCAGCCAGGGGGTGGGGGTGACTGTAGGCGGGTGTCGTGGTGTAATGTGGGGGTGCACTGTGCCCGCCTTCTTGTCAGGCAGTAATTACTCAGACTGCTGAGTAACTCAAGCAGGGAGACCCCCACAGACAGATGGAGGTGTTCTCTGCCCATGTTGAATGGCAGCCTCCAATGTCTTGCACTGCAGGGTCTTGGGGGACATGCTCACATCTGTCCTTGATGTCTAGTTTTCCTGGACATCACCTGGTTTCCTAATTGGGGCCAAGGCAGCTCATTCAGCACAGAGGCTGCAGGGCAATGTGATAAGAGGATGGAGGCCTTCCAGCAACAACAAGCCCCACCTCTGCCTAGGGAAAGGCCCCAAGGGGCGGGGTGCCTGCTAGGGAGAAGCCACTGCTCTGCTGGAGCCAATCTTTCCCCCTTGGAACTTACAGCTGCAGCAGGAGCTAAAGCTGCCCACAGGCTAGGCCTTAGGGTCCTGAAGGGGGAGGGGCTGGACTCAGGGGATCCCTGGAATTGGGATCCTGCACCCTGGGGATCCAGAGAACCTGGGATAAATAGGAAAGTCCAGGCTGGACTCTTATTAAGGTGAGTGGGATGTTCCAGGGACCCGTGTTGACCACAGCCTTGTCCAAAGCTGCGATTATCCTGAGAGCATCAGTCAGTGGCCTGAAAGGCAGAGAACTGACCCCTTCTGGTCCTCCCCTTGGCTGCTCACTCCCAGCCTGCCCTGCCATCCCTCCTCTCTGGGCGGCCTCCCAGGCAGGGCCTATCCCTGGCTGCTTGTTTTTCACTTCTCCCAGCACCTTAATTAGGAGTTTCCAAGCAGGGAGGGCCTCCAGGGGAGCCCGAGGCCACAGAGCTGCCTTAAAGGGCCAGCTGTGCTCACATCACCACCACAGAGAGAGGAAGATGGTGCCAGAGGGCTGGGTGGGGAAACAGCCTTGGGGTACCATTGCTATAAGGGCAGACCTTACTGAAGGCCAGTCCTGCAGGGACTCTGCTCTTCCAAAGGTCAAGGCTGTCTCACTGGCTGCTCTGCCTTTTCTTTGGGATCCCAGAAGCTCAGGCCACTGATCAGGAGAAAGGCTATGTAGGCCTGAGGGGCAGCAGAGGCAGGGCAAACGTTAGCCAGAATCCAGAAGGTCTGGGCAATCCGAGTCTTTGACTGCCCCACCCTCCCAGGAAATCACCCTCAGACTCCAAACCTTCCCCTGGGAGCAGTTTTTCATATGTGAACCTTCTACACCGTCATTTCTAAAGGTGATAAGGGCATCCCGGTGCTGCGGGCACCAAGACTCAACTTGGAATTGAGCTGGTGGGCGCTGAGTTCTGTCCTGTCCTGGCAGTGGGGTCCTCCGAGGTAGGGAATGTGGCCCCACCGACACGACGTCCACTGCTTACCAAGAGGGGAGATGGAGACGGGGACGGGGTGGGGCGGGCGGGGAGAGCTCACGGAAGACCTAGTGGCTTCCCCACTCACGAGACTCGGCCCTCAGAATTCTGGCAAACAGGGGAGTACTGGTCCGGGAGTACCAGGTTCGGGCCGGCCAGGAGAGAAGGAGGGGACAGGGTCGCCGAGAGAGCGCAACCGCGGTGGTTGGGGACCACTAGCGGCTCGCAAGTGTCGCGACCTTCCCGGCTGAGATGGGGCCCATTACAGTCCCGCCCCTATCTTCTCCTTCACTGTCCCCGCCCAGCAAATCTCCGCCCCGCGCTGGCCAATCGGCGATCGATTGCAATGTCTGGGCTCTCCGCGTTCTTCTAGCGCTGTCTTTTTGGTCCCCACGTGGGCAGGCCGGTGATGGCGGCGCTGGTTGCCTCTGAGGCGGCGGAGGCCCGAGGCCGAAACGGCCCTGGCAGAGGTGAGTGCCATAGCGCTGCGGCCTCCGGACCTCGGATCTCGGGGTAGGGCCCCCAAGTCAGGGACAGGTCCAGCCCCCTTTAACGGTGGCGGCGCCTTTCTCCGCCAGACCCAGAGGTCCCGCTGTCACTCGCTCCGGGCGGCTGTCACTGGAGCCCGGGGGAACCGGTCTTTCTTTTGCAGCCTTAGGGCGCAATCGGGAGCAGCTCCTCTCAGGACCTTGTAGTCTTCAAGCCGGAAACGCTGCCCCCCGGCCCTAGCCAGTAGCCAGACGCATGAAGACTCACGGATAAGACGGACCCGACGAGGAGGGAAGGAGCCAGGGGCGCTGCTGCGAGCATTCCACAAGTGGGCCCTCAGCGAATGCTTTCAGGAAAGAGGCACATGGTTTCACCAGGCACTTACTGAGCGCCCACTGAATGCCAGGCCTGTGCTAGGTGCAGGAACTATACTACAGCCCTGCCCTCGGGGATCTCACAGTCTTCTTGGGGATACGGATGTAAACAGAAGATCATAGCCACGTGATAAAGGAGGAGATGCCTACTGGCCCTTGGGACAAATTGAGCTGCTAAGACTAGCAGCTCCCACACCTCAGGGACCGCAAGCGACTTGGGCCTGTCAGAGGAGCTTCTGTGAGGGACAGTGGGCTGGTTGTTCCTTTGAAACAACTGAACAAAAACCATAGCAGTGGTAACATTCAAACCTGGCCTCAGGGTCCCAACCTGTCATGCTAGTTCTCCACTGCACCATCACAACCACCACCTATCCACCTCCCCCAGACACAGAGGATGAAAAGTTAGGTCTGGGAGGATCCCTCCTATGTAGTGAGGGGCCCTAGCAGAAATTCTGGCACATAGTGCAAGCTGAATAAATATTCGTGGAATAAATTAATTTCTTGCTTCGTCACATTCCCGAACTATGTGTCTCCTAAAGAGGTAACTGGAGGTTGAGCTAAGCTGAATTGTGGGGAGTAGGATGCAGATTAAGGGCTGCAGGTTTGCTAAAGGGCTGCAATGTTTTCTCCTTTCATCAGGGAGTTGTAATTATTTGTATA